CTCCTCTCTCACGAACCTCCGCTTTGGTGTAAACTCATCACCTTCTAAGTAATATAAAATAGGTTCATTCTTCGTTATCACGATTTTTCAGATTTTATGGATAGAAGGCGAAAATATTGAATCAGTGGCCTTTTTTTGCTCTAAGCCAGAAGACCCTTCCCACTTTCCACTAGCTAACAAATAACAGACTGTATCACCTTTTTTCAACTTATTCTCTTTATATTTCCCAACAGGATGCTTATATTTCGTTGATGGTCTAGATTCTACACGTTCCAACCGAATGGCCAGTTTGGGGGCTAAACCCCACTTTAAAGAACCTGGGACTCAAATAAGACGCGTTGGATAATTATTTAGGTAATCGATGACTTCTGGCAAATACTTCACCCACTCTCTTATTAATTTAGGGTTTGAAGTTATACTTTCGACAGTATATTGAATCTTGTAAAGCATTTCTGCCAATGTCTTACAAAACCCATCTACAAGTGCAAGTCCTCGATGAGAGTATGGGCCTATAACTCGAATTGTAACATTATGCGCTTCCATTATTTTTGAAGTTTCACCCATAAATTCACAGCCTTGATCACATTGTAGAAGTGTTGGCCATACGAGTGGATCTGATGGATCGTCATAAATCTTTTTGAAAGCTTTGGTAACCTCTGAACTATTCTTGGATGTAAGAGGGACAGCACATTTAAAACGTGATGCAATGTCTATAAGAGTAAATACCCATTTGTATGTCTTTCTATTAACAGTATCATTTGTAAGGCGCAACAAATCACACATATGTACACAGTTTGGACGTGAAATTTTACCATAACTAACTCGTAAAATATTTTTTGGTGACGGAGCATACTTCTGCCACTCATTCTGATTTATAAGCCAGTCACGCACTTTTTTATATAGGAATTTATACCCTCCCTTCTTGAGATCTTTATATAATTTTCGAGCATTGGAGTGGTAACCAGTGGGGTTATAAAAAAGAAGCTTACAAACTAAAGCCAATTCCTCATTAGGATCAATTAAAATTTGTGCTCGACTCATTTTGATGTAATTTACTATAACGAAAAATTTTAGCACTTTCTTGATAAACAATGTGATTGGTGTATATATACTACATTCCAATGGATAATCTTGTTACGACAATTAAGAAATTACGTATACAGGTCCAGAAAAATGAGGATTATATTGTTTACCTGGAGAAAGAGCTTATTACAAGAGATGATGAGATCGATATTTTGAGGGTACAGATAAATGATCTCAAAATAAGACTTCAGAAAGCAGAAGCAGATATCCAATCCAAAGAGAGAAATCTATCTGCTGTCGAACTTCAGTTACAAGATATGAGCAGTGAATTATTCTCCCTTCAACATAGAATTCAAAAACTTTGGGAAACAATGATATTGGACATGACACACCTACCATCTACAAATACATCAGTTTTCAACTTAATAATAGATGTGCAAGCAAATATCAAGCTTTTAGGTGATTCAGCTAGGGGTGATAATACTTTTTTAAGAGATGAAATTGATAATCTCTAGACTCAAACAGAATTAAAATTAACGCAAATCCAGAATGGGTGTTATACTTTTAAAAACGAAGTAACTCAGCTAAGACAAGAAGTTATAAATCTAAAGGATATAAACTTCAATCAACAGGAGTTAACCAATGAGCTAAGTACATTAAACGAAACACTCAAAGAGCAGATAGATGAGTTATCTGAAAAAAATGAGACCATCCAAATTGAATTAGATGAGAAAACAAGATTATATGGGCAAGTTCAAGACTGGTTGGATGAATGTCGAGAGGAATGCTATCAAATAAGAGAATCTTTGGAAGGGGTGCATGAAGATATTTCAGAAAGTGAGTTTGCATATGACGAGTTAAAACAGAAATTGCGCATCTTAGGATTAACCCATATCGCATGGCGAGCTCGCAATCTAAGGCAGGCTCAAATTTTAAATGTGGAATTTAATACAGCAAGAACCACTTGGAGGAATCAAAGAGGTAGAAATCGGCATATTGCTCAAGAATTGCAAAATTGTCGGGAGCATGGTAGGAATTTACAAAATTATAAGGTTCTTATTGAGTTTTGACGAGATCAACTTATAGTGAGGTATGGGAAGTGGAAAAATAAGACCAAAAATGGACGCCAAATAATTAATAATTTGAATCAACAAATTTTAGCGCTTCAGAATAATCCACCTATAAACAATCAACATATAAGAATGGCAGGATATGCACCAAACCCATTTCACGGAGGAGCCAGAGAAGATCCTGAAGAATGGATTAGAAATTTTAGACAGTATTGTGAAGCATCTGGACTTGATCCGCTTGCAAACGCTCGAACCAGAGTAAGAATTCATGGTCTTTTTGAAACTTGTTTGAGAGATGATGTGAAATATTGGTATGAGACTAATCTCAAAAATAAAAACTGGGAATTGCAGAACATTAGTGACAATATCAACTTGGTTGATCTTAATGCTATTAATGGATTGGTCAACAATAATGCATTGCGTAATATTAATGCTAATCAATTTAGAGGCAGAGCTCTTCATATAAGAAATACTGTACCAGCTAACAATAATGCGATTGCTACACCATTAGTATTAGCATATACCATTTTTGATGAAAACTGGCTAATATCTGAAGGACGACCAACAGATTTAACACCCAATGCCCCCAACGCTAATGCAGGAGGTAATACTATAGCTGTTGGCATTCGTATTGAACAAGTACTATACTGGCTTAGAACTAACTATCCTACAATAACTGCTGAAAAATTGAAAGTAGTATTCCACAATATCACTCAAGGTAATCAACCTGTGGGTCAGTTTTATGCAAATTTAAAAAGAATGGTTAAGCTCGCCTACTCAGCTCTTCCAGAAGCAAATCAAGAAGAAATGATCAGGCAACAATTCTTCCAGGGGCTTTCTCCTGATAATAAGTTAGAAGTACGACGTATTGATCTCAAAAATCTAATTTCCACTTTACTCCCAAAATTAGAAGAAATTGAAAGGCAAAAGGCTGAATTAATGTTAGGTGAGTATAACCCCGATTCACACCCTGTCACTTCTCAATCACGATCTAAAGCTAGTACGAAAGAACTTTACATAACAAATAATACAGGCATGACAGATAAAATTAAAAATTATATAAAATCTATAATAGCGTCACAACCCCAGCAAATACCGGTTCAACAATCTCAGCAAATTACACAGTCAACTCCTCAATATAGACCACACCCCGCTGGGACATATCAGACTTTACAGGATACAAACATGGGTAGATTTATACAATAACTTAATGAAGAAATTTCAGAGTTCGTTCTTATACCCAAACCTGAATTACCTCCAAAACCACAGATAAAGAGAGTTGAAGTTGACTCTGACGAAGAACTAGCCAACCTCACACAAAGACAATTAAAATTGCATATAGCTAGACAGGTCAATAAAGCTGTAAAGAAATCATCTAAGCACAGGTGCTCGAAGTATAATAGAACTGGACATCGATCAAATTCTTCTAAATGTCCGAAAAATAAAAAGAAAAGCAGATCTAAGAAGAAAGGTAGTATTAATAAGGTTACTCTAGATTCAAGTTCAGATACTAACAATTCTTCTGGTAACGATTCTGGATCTGATTCTGAGACAAGTTCTGATGCCGAGAATACTCCCTCCAAATCTGATTCTGAGAATAACTTTATCGAAGATGACGTCGTGAAAATTATCAATGCTGTCAATGCCACTAAAGCAAAAAAAAAGTAAAACCTAAGGAATCCAAGACTAAGAAGAAATCTAAACCCTGCAAAAAGATACAGAAGGATCCTTTCACTTCTGATAAATCCTGAAATAAATTGACTGTTATTGGCCGTGTCAGTTCCGCTAATAAGTCTTTTCAAAAAATGGTATTAGATATGTTTGATGGCATTACGCCCATAGATTGGATAGAGAAATTCAGAGTTAAAATTGAGAACTCATCCGATTTGTATTCATCTACCAAAAAATCAGATTTCACAAATTATAGAGAACCAGTTCAAGAAATATCCGATTCGAATGGGGAAGAGGAGACGTTGGGTGATCCTATGGAGATTGATTTTGTTCAGAGAAGGGATCTAGCCACAGATATTGCAACTGCAGAATGTAAAATCAAACGTTTAATAATTCCAGCTGCTGATCTTAATTCTTGTGCTAATTTTCTAATTATGACTGAGGATATTGCTAAACGTGTCAAGTTGGTAATTGATACAAAAGAAAAACATGATCTCAGTGGAATTGCTACCACCCATACTGAATCTATTGGGGTTGTTCATAATGTTCCTGTAACTTTTGCCCCAGGTTGCACTATACATTCTGATTTTGCAGTTGTTAAGTATCGCAAACCAATGTTAATTTTACCTAATACATTGCTCGATAAATATGATTATAATTTACTTGCATCAAAGCGTATGTTGAAATTCGTATGCAATGGTAAGGAACATCTCATTCCGGTTAATATGCACCCAGTCAAAAATAAACTTGAAGTGAACTGTGTAAATGTATCTCAGGATGTTAAGCCTCTGGTATCTGATCAAATTTCACAGGAGACAGATAGGGATGAGGATAACAATGTACCATTCGACAAGCGTTACGCTCCTGCGGGTTTTAGCTTAGATTCTGCCAATTTGACTTTAAAAAAAAATGCATGAATTGTGTACAGTATGAAAAAAGTTTATACATTGCCCTTAAATCTATTACTAAACTTAATGATTGTAATGAGTTTCTACAAAGAAAATGTAAAAATATCGTTAAGTCTGTTATAGATTAAGTAGTAGATCCTATGCGAGTGGTATTAACTAAATTTTTATCTTTTCTTTTTATTTCTCGTTCAATCTGAGTAACTATATCTGTATTAAAAATGTCGCCATTCATAGTATCTCCACTTATTTTTTTTGTTAAGTTATCAGTGGAACTGGCATGGTCAATATTAACTAATATCGAACTACTGCTGGGTATTGGGTCAGATATGCGAACAGATTTAGACTTAGATTTGGAACTTCTCTTTTTTATTTCTGTATTGGGAGGAGTAGTGGACTTCAGATGTAGGTTCGAAGAACCATGATCCTTGGATCGCTCTTCAGACTTGTTTTGCAATAAAATCTCTCCTTCATTTCGGTTAGAATTTTTAGGTAATATTACTAGTATAGGTAATATTTCAGAAGAAATGTCACTTTGTATTATTTGTTGTTGACATTCATGACTCCCTCATATATCTTTAACCCGATTCTCATTGATATGAAAATCTCTTATTATTATATATTTAGGAACCTTTCCCTTAAGCGTTCTAATTGTTTCTATTTGTTCAGAAGTTAGTAATATAGAACCCTTGCGATAATAAGATTTTAGATATGAAGTACTCATGGTTTGTTTTTTTTTATTCAATATTCTAGAATGATAAAAAATGATAAAAAATAATATTCATTGTTATAGAACGATAAAAAATAATATTCATTGTTATAGATGGAGAATATTATCGAAAGCAGATATATAAAAATAATTACTCTACAATCACCAAGGCGTTAATTCTCTCTAATATGTATAACAATACCTAATATTAAATATCGTTAAATATCATTAAATATCGTTTGATAATTATAGAAATTATTAACGAATCTTGTTTTATCAGACTTGTCTGTATACGCAGTCACTGGTCAAAAATTGATAAAACATACACATATCGGGTACCCGATATGTGCATGCTGTGTCCCTAATATCGGGCATATATCGGGTACCCGATAGGTATAGAAAATATTTTATATATATATCGAGTACCCGATAAGTGTAAAAAAATATTTTCTACACTTATCGGGTACCCGATATATGCCCGATATTAGGGACACACCATGCACCCGATATGTATATGTTTTATCAATTTTTGACCAGTGTGAATATTATGTGATATTGCTCATTCTTTAAATCCAAGTATATTATTTATATTTTTTTCAGCTTGAATTTTTTGTATCATTGAATATATTGCTAGGTTTATTTCCTGTAGTAAACTTGTAGTATTTATAGAAATTCTTATAATAAAATTTAGGTGCAATTCATGAAACCAATGTGAAAAGGGAAGTTCATATAATAAACATCAAAAAAGTATATGATCAAGCTCATAATAAGCATTAAAATGTGTTAACAAAATAGGGTTTGGTATAAGAATTAAAGAACTAGAAAGAGATTCTTTATATATATTTCTAGCTTTATATATTTTGTTAAAATTATCAAGTATTGAGAGGTGATTTTAAAATATTTGCATAATATCATAAATTAGTTCTCCAGTATCAATACCACTACATTATATATTAATTAAAATAAGTATAAAACATTTAACATATTATAATATAAATAATAATATAAAAATTAACTTACAATTTATTCATTAATCTGATTTTTGGTTTATTTAATAAAGTGATATTGTCACACTTTTGGATCCAATTAAAAATATCTATTGTTAAGTTATCACTGTTATTAAGAACAATAAGAATTGTTTCTTCTTCAATATTATTTTCATCTTGTAAAATTCTTCTGAAATTTTTAAATATTTCTTTGATATTTGTTGTTTTTTTGAAAATAATATTTGTAATACTTAATGTATTATCATAGTTTTCTTTAGATTTTTGCTTTTGTTCATTAGATGTGACAATATGATTTGTCAAAAAAGAGTTTACTACAAAGTTAGATTCTAAATAAGATTCAAAATTAGGTGTAGATTCAAAATTAATATTTCTTGATAAACCAGAAGCAGAACTAAAAACAGAACCAGAAGTAGATGATTCTTCTTGATATTCTATATAAAAATAATATTATTAATATTGTACAAAATCTATATAAATTTTAAAAATATTATTATTAAATAAATTTACCATTATCATTATTAAGTATAATGGGTGTATCTTGTGGTCCAATATATAATTTTTTTTCTTTGTCCTCCAATTCTATTAAAAATTATTATTTATTTTTGATTAAAAAATAAAAAAAAATAAAAAAAAAATAGAAAAAAATAAATTAATACCTTATGGCAACTGGAATTATATATGAACCATCATTTCTGTTTACTAGAAATAACTGAGCACCACCAACTCGATATATTATCCAATTTCTATTCTCTAAAATAGGAAATTCCATAACTATTTTTACATCAAAGGTGTCAAGATTATTTTCTACAAATGTAATTTTTTTTATCAACCCATTTTTTAATAATTCTCTATAACTAAAATAAAAATAATTAATATATTTTAAATTAATATTATATTAAATTTAAAGAATATAAATAATATAATATTTACTATTCTAGGAATTATAAGTGATGACGTGTATATTCCAATATAAGTTAAACAAATAACGGTCATTACAACATTTAATATCTTATGTCCTTCTGTTTTTCTTTTTTTTCCATGTATATTGGATTTAGTAAAATATCGTGATATTGTCTTATTTGAATTAAAAATATGACTAAAGGCTTCATTATTTATACTTCCATTGTTCAAGGATCTAAAAATAGTATTGAGTTGATTTTGTATATTTAAAGAATTAGTTTTGTTATTTAAAGAATTGTCTAAAGGATTACTTAAGGGATTGTCTAAAGAAATATTTTTTGGTAGATTGTATAAAATCATAGATTGTATATTTTGTTCTGAGATTTCATGAAATAATTCATCATGTTCACAAGTATGACGCACGTAAGTTTTATTAATAGTTGGCACGAAATCTAAGACAGTTACATTTAGTACATTTTCCTAGTATTTTTAAAAATATGCGCAAATGCGAAAAATATAAAAAAATATTAAAAAAAAGGATCATGAAGATCAAGATCATTATTTTTACATTTTTATTCAAATAAAAAAAATTTTTTCACTCATGTTGAATTGATTTTTAATTAACGAATAGAGTTTATTTAAATGTTTTAATTACTTTAATTAAGCTATAGATTAGGAAACTGTACACTAACATTTGTATAGAAAAAATTTAGATAAAAGATTAATAATAGATAAATATTTGTATTCACTAATATTAAAACTAATTTTTAGAACAAGAAATTACATGAAACCCTATGCACCTCCCCAATTAATTTTTAGATAATGTCTGTCTTGATTTCTAGACTGTATACGGTCCAAACGTCCACTTATACCATGGACTCTAGTTCCTAACCCTTTTACAGTATTAGCCAGATCAGCTAATTCTTTAGACATATTGTCTAATGTTTTTAATACATTTGAATTATTTGTATCTTCTTTTGTTTTTATTTCTTTTCCTTTTATATCTTTATTATTATTTTCTTTCAACATTTGATCATGTTCATCAAGATGATTTTCAATGGTAGAGAGTCTTTTTGCTATATCTATCAGAACTTTAGCTACTTCTTCCATTCCTCCACGTAACTCTTCAATTTGTGTGATATACAAATCCATTGTTTTTATTACATTTTAATTAAATTTATCAAATTCTTCATGTTGTTCTTCAATTTTATTCTTATTAATATCCTTTTCAATATAATTAGCTTTTTTCTTAACTATATCTATATAAGTATTTTGGTTTGAAGTAGTTTTTATTAGATTAAAATAATAATTTAGTTTATATTTTTTATACAAATTATCAAATTGTTTGATTTTTTCTTTCTTATTAAAAACTAACTGTTTATAATATTTATTTACATTACATTCTTTTGTTTTATGTAAATCTGAACTACAAATAAAACAAAGAGGTATTATCATAGGAACCATTCTAATTGTGATTTTCTCATTGTACTGTGTTAGTGTTTCTGCATTTCTTCTTTTGAATCAAACAAAATAATCAGATAATTTTTTCTTTTATATTCTTTTCTAGTTCTTGAAATATAATTGTATGACCTTTGATATCTTTAACAATTTGTTTGATATCCAATGCTGTCATTCCTCTAGATAATTGGGTTAACTTTGTTACCCATTTACCTTTATTATTTAATTCTTCATAATTAGTATCACCTAATGTAATTCTTAAACAATTTATTCTGATCCAAATCAACCATTCTATTGATAATTTTTCTATGACTTTCACATTTTCAAATTTCACATGACCTAATTGCCACATATCTTTTGTTGTTAAATGTAATTGTTTCACTTTTCCAAAATAATTAAGATGTAACATCAAATAATTTCTCTTTACATATAGAGAAATATCCCAAATTTTTCATTTGCGTAATTTATCATATTCATTAGGTAACTGTTTCACCACGTCTTGCATATAAATATAATTTTTAATATTCCTTAGATTTACTTTTTTTATCTTTTGTACTTTTTCTTCATTCAAAAGATATATTATTATATTTTTAATTTTATTGGTTATTTCAATTTTTCCAAGAATCACTTCAATTTGATTTTGAAAAGGAGATTTTTAACCATGAGAATTTTTACAAAAGGTGATTTTCCCTTAATTTTTTTCGCTTCAACAGAAACTTTAAAAAATTTTATACCAGTTTCTTTATGCCAGATTTTAAGAGAGATATTTTTAGGTTTTTCCACAAATACTTTTTTAACTCTATCATTTTTATTCTTTTTACTTTTTACTGTTTTAAATTCTTCCTCAATATATAAGTCATCATCCTCTTCACCATCTGAAATTTCTTTGCATTTTGGTTCTGTCACAAATGAAACACTTGACCCTGGTTTAACAACATTATTAATATTTATTTCTATTTCTTCTTCAAATAACTCTCTAACAACTTTTTTTTTACTTGCGTACACTGGTACCAAAGGTACCTTTATTTCTTCTTCTATATTTATAGTTGTATTATTTTCATTTTATATGTTACTAACCGTAAGAATAAAATTCATATTTTCTTTATTTTCTTGATTGTTATTATCATCTTGTTGACCAGAAATACTTCTGGTATTGTATTTATATTTTTTCTTACCCATATAAGTAAAAAAGATAGAAAAATAATTAAGTTTTATATATAATTACAGTGAAAAATCATATTTCTCTACTATGGAAATATTTGGTACAAGTGATCGATGGGAAGAGTTTTTTCAATAAATTTTTTCTTATAATATTTTCAGTTTCATCTTTTAAATCCTTCCAGAAAGAAATATATTCACTTTAAAAACGTTTGCTGTAACTTGATTTATTATGTCCTTATTTGATAAAATTACTATAAATATTAATAATAGATTAAAATATAACATTATAAATTAGCTAAAAATACTTACTTTTGAAAAATTTGGATCATTATATATTTCAGATCGAAGCTCAATGTTTTTGAACCTATTTTTAATATCTATTTATTCTTTCAAAAGGAAATTTATTTTTTTACCGAGTGAATCGATTTTTTCCATTAATTGATTCAAGGAATTTACAAAAATATTTTAAAATTGTAAAAATTAGTTTTAATAATAATATAATATATCAATAAATAAAACGCATAATTTAATTATTAGTTTCTGTTCTGGTTATTCCTCTTTTTTCTTCTTCACCAACTACAAACGGTGTATTTGGATTTGTTCCAGCTGTGAGTCTTGTGCATCTTGATATGGTGAATTTTCTTGATGTAGATCTGGCAATGGCAGAAGCAAATAAATTTCTATTACGTTTAGCTCTAGGCATGTTGTTATAATAATTAAAATAAAAGATTTATTTATAATTTATTCTGAAAAAATATTGTTATCTTGAAATAAATTTTTTGAATTGAAAGACTTGGAAGAAAACTTATTCTTTAATAACTTTTGAATAAACAATACAAATATACTTTCGATATACAGTAATACACTTAATAATTCAAAATACAATACAATGTATCACTATTTTTAATCATCGTATTCATTATTAAATAATACTCATTAAATTATTATCATATTCATTATTAAATAATACTCATTAAATTATCATTGTATTGATTATAAAATAATGCTTTATTTCAAAATTTTCAATATACAGTAATACACTTAATAATTTAAAATATAATGCTATTTTTAATCATTATATTCATTATTAAATAATACTCATTAAATTATCATCGTATTAATTATAAGACAATATCTTATTTCGAAATTTTCAATATACAATGCATAACTATTTTTAATCATCGTATTAAATAATAATCATTAAATTATTAAATACATATGAAAGATATAGTATCTAATATTTAAAAAGACATTATAAATAAAAGATAATTTTAAAAAAACAAATAATAAATTGTAGGGAAAAATAAAATATGATGTCTTCATTTACATATCGGACAAAAAAGAAATATGATATCCTTCGTTATACTCCGAACAAAAAAAATAATAATAAATAAAATCATTATATATCGACCTATAATATAATGTAACTATAAGAGTTATAACTTTTATATGATACACACTAATATAAGTTCTCGAACGATCTATTATATAACTATTAATACTAATATTTCATGTTATATAATGTTATAAATATGTATCTTCGTAATACGTTCTAAAACGGATAGTTCTAGAACATTATTAATAATAAAGTTCGCAAAACATATTAGAACTATTCGTTATATAACATTATTTATACTTATTGTTCGTAGAATGTTGTAAAACGGATCGTTCTAGAACGTTATTAATACTGATAGTTTGCAAAACGTACTAGAACGATCTGTTATATAATGTTATTTATACTTATCGTTTGTAGAACATTGTAGAACGGATCGTTCTAGAACATAACGTTCGTAAAACGTTGTAGAACGTTATATAAAAATTCCTGATGAAAGTGCTAGCATTTTATAATAAATTGGTCTAGCTATAAAATAATAGTTTTTTTTTATATTACCTATATACAATTTTAGGTTATCTTTTTAAAAATATTAATTTTTATTTTAGTCTTTAGGTATCTTGTCATGTATTTATCTCAAAGTTTGAACTTATTAGGTATCCAATAAGTTACTATACATATATAGTATATATATATCAGATACTGATAGATATACCATATATGTATAATAAATTTATTAGTTACCCAATATTATACTTCACAGTAAAATAATTATGTCAATTATGTCAATTAGTAAAATAATATGTCAAATTAAATCTGCAAATTATTTTACTTAATAATACTTATAAAAAATTGTAATATATCAAATTATATCTGTGTTATAGTGCGTTAAGAAAGTCTTTGGACAAGATTTACAT